AGGGAGAAAAACATACTTTGCAGTACATGGGTAAAATTGATTTTTAAAAATGAGAAAAACCGGGTCTAAAAACAAACTTAGGAGGATTTATGAAATTGCTATAAAGCACATTGTGGTAGAAAAGTCCCAGGGATGGGCTGTGGGTACCACAGTATTCTTTCCCACTCCTTTGATGGAAACAGCATGATTGAAACAGGGGGTGGTGGTTATAGTTTCTGCTAATTTGTTAATGCATTAAATAAATGTTTACTGGGCACTAACCCTGCACTTGGCTGTGGGCCTACCATCCTTCTGGCATTTGCAATTGTGTTTATTGTGGGGAACAGAACAGGAAACTTCTGGAAGGTTATAAATACAAGTTGTTAGTCTTTCATGATACTTTCCAAAGGCATACAGAAAATCAGAAAATATATACTTGTACCTACCCAAGGAACTATATAGCAAGAGATGTTTATAGGCAAGAAGTAGATGAGTGAAGCTTGTGATCTGGAGTAGCACATTTAAAACTGAGGAAACAAAAGCTTGAGATAAGACACAGAGCGGAACCAGCATTGGCCCTCAGGCTTTCTTATAACACAGCAGTAGAGATTTAGTCGCAGCAACATGTGGAAGAAGCTAAAGGCATGTCTTGAACTTATTTCATTTCTGACCTTGCCAAGTCCCCGGGTTCAACTAATTTTCTCCTTGTGGTTTCGTCGGAAGTGGGTTCCAGAGTCAGGAACCAACAGTGCCCCAGGAGCACAGCAGGTGTGAGAATGAAAGGAGAAAGGGCTGCTAGCCCTTTGATGAATTGAGACTTGTTAAATAAGATGATAGCTTTTGCCCATCAAAAACTGTTCTATTTCACTGTTCTATTTCGTAACTATTCACCTAGAGGACCTGGGGAGAAATACCCAGCACTACTGATTAACATTTCTTTAAAGAATGATCAATATATAAATCTGAGTAACAAAGAAGGCAAATCAAATCATCTCAGGTAGATTAAATGGCAAAGGAAACATGATGAAATTCCTATCCTTGATTCACTAAATGAGTTGGTTGTCTGGGCACATTTCCAGGATGTAATCTGGGTGTGCATTTGCATGACTCTGTGTTTGCATGAGTGCATGGTACATACGTGTGTGTGTGTGTGTGTGTGTGTGTGTGTGACTCATAATAGATGCAATAAGATTCTGCCTTCGTTTGTATGAACACTGTAAGAAGTGGATTATACACCAAAATTGGGAACTTTTTCTCAATGCAAAAGCAAAGTCAGTCCTTATGAATGTTAACAATGTTGAATGCAAAACATAAGAGAAAACTGTATTATTGTCTCTGCTTCACTGACTAACTCAGTAACAAATATAAAACTACTGAAACCAGTATTAGCAGGACCATAGAGCATAGTATTTCCAAAAGCAAGATTTGGGACCTTAAATTGCACTCATAATTAAAAGGCTGCCTTGATTATGCTTGTCCTCTGATTTGTCAAATGCAAAACTTTACTGATGGATGAGAAACGTGGCTGGAAAAAAGAAATTAAGTGTCCTTTTACCCATGGTAAGCTTTTGGTTTTGCATGGAAAATTTGCTAAAATTGGTTGATAAAGTCACGAGGCACGGCACTTTCAAGCAGAAAACTAATGGTATTATTATTTTTTTCTTTAAAAGGGTTTACTTGCATAGATAAGATTTTTGAACAGTTGCTGAAATATGGACACTAACTTTTCAGAATGAGCTTGTTCTTTATTCCCACCAGTAAAGAATAAAAGAATCTGGAAGGCAAATCCCAGAGGTACAAGTTCTTTAATAAAGTTGTTATATCCTAATTCTTTGTAACTTCCTCTCTTTGCTCCATCTGTTTGATCCTTCATGTGAACAGAAAGTATCAAATCTCAAATTTTAGTGTAGTTTCCAAGGAATGTTGCATGGTAAGTATATTCATAGACCAGGCTTTACAAGACCTTCAAACCTGGATTATCCCATCTGGCTGAGCAGGATTTATGAAAAATTTGTACTGGCTTTATTTCCTTTTTCTTTTTTGACATGGATCATGCTATCACTGATTGTTCAAACTTTGTTCAGGGTTGAAAAGAGGGAGTGTGACAGATGAAAGTTGTCTTGACCACCTTTTTAAGTAAACACTAAATTAAGATAATTTTTACAGTGTAAAGACTCCTTTCCAACAGAATTAATATGAATGTAGCTGGTAAACAGATCTGATTTTTCTAGAGAAGGCCACTCGAGAATTGTCTATTCTTCAGCCAGACGTATATAGTTTCAAGAACTTTAGAGTTGCATCCGAGGAACCAGAAATGTAGCCTAAAAACGTTAGTCTTGGGTGCAGAGATTTACCTATCAGAAGTCTTCCTGAATATTCAAGGAGCTTAAAGATTACAGGACAGATGCATTGATTTTTTAATAGTAGTAGTGGTAGTAGTAGTGGTAATAATAATAATAATAATAATAATAAGGAATGTAACAATTTGGGGGTTAAAGAGTTTGAATAAAAGCATTACAGAATAGACTTTAGAGATCATTAGCTAGCACCTCTATATCATTTGCCCTATTTGTGACCCACAGCAGGTGCCTTGACACTTATTTGGATCCTGTGTGGATCAAAATGAGGACCAAGACCTTCCATTGAAGAGCCCCAATGAAGGAATCCCTGCAAGAGTTGGGAAGGCTCCTCTCTCTTTTCCGGAGGGATTTCCCTCAACTGCTCACCCACTTCCGAATTCAGACAGAAAAAGAAAGAAAGAAAGAAAGAAAGAAAGAAAGAAAGAAAGAAAGAAAGAAAGAAAGAAAGAAAGAAAGAAAAGAAAAGAAAAAAAAGAAAAGAGGTGATTTTAGAAATCCTGAGACTGCTCCTACAGGAAATGACTATGTGGCAAGTAGCTTTGAATTGCCAAAACAGAATTACAGACTCTTTTATCAGTGTTATTATTTAATAATATGCTGAGTAGCTCTAGAATTCCTGTCAACCATAAAGCTCAAAGATATGGAAAAAACTGATGAACATGATTATGGAGAACTCCATTTGAGGGAAAAAAAATGTAACTCTCAGAAAACGTCTTTCAAAGGTATGAGTCTCAGCAAAATAATTTCCTCTCTCTCAAGAGTTTATGAGAGAGAGAGAGAGAGAGAGAGAGAGAGAGAGAGAGAGAGAGATCGAGAGAAATCCCTGCAAAAACTGGACAGAGCTGATGAAAGGCAAGGGCCAGGGAGAAATTTCAGTGGTGTTTAGCATGAACGACAGGGCTCATTTTGCATGCAGTGAAGTAGAGCAGCTAGGCTGAATGGATGGAAAATCCCACTCTCAAATCTTACATAAATATCTCTTTCCCACATATAGTTTTCCAGTTGAAATGCTCCTATAATGAAGCCAGAGGTGACAGCCCGGGGAGGGTTTTTAACCATTGAGAAGGCTGTCGAGAGTGTTATAAAGAGAACTGGTGCTTTCAAAACGACCCCATCAAACCCCAGTCCCCCATCTGCCTGGCGCTGGAGCGAGAGGAGCAGACACTGCACTGCTCTAACGTACCTTCTTTGGCGGCACCCTCTTCCCCATTGTCAGTCCACGAACACCGAGAAGCCGGTGACAGCAGGCCAGCGGCTGCTCTGATCCGCGGCTAGGCGCTGGAGGGATTGTCGGACCATGCCCTCTAAAGAGCAAACTCTCGCAGCATCTTCAGGAAAGGGTGGCAAAGTTGAAAGGGCCTTTTTACCCTCCCGCTTGTCGGGTTATAATCTCTATCCTTTAACTGGACTTGAAGTGAGCAGCTCCCAGCCTGGTTTTCCATTGCGGACTAATGTGCGCTCGCAACAATAAACAATTAATGTTGTTTGATTTCTTAGGTTTAACAACCCTAGCAAACAGCTGCCGCCTCCGCCCGCGGAGGCAAAGGGCTAGCGCGGGACGTGCCACAGGCTCAGTGCCTGCGGAAAGGATCGGTGCCCCCGAAACTTTGAGGTTTCTGCCAGAGTGGGTGGCAGAAGACTTCGTCTTGGGGAGGGGTAAAGCGGAGGAAACTGGGATACCTGTTGGTATCAGCATTGGCGACGGCGCGTTTCTACTGTTGCCCAGACCAGAGGAAGGATTAGGTCCTACCATAAACCTGTTACGCGGCGGCAAAATCTAGGGACAGTGACAGCCCCTTTTGCCTTCCGCCCAGGAGGGGCGCGCACTCTCCCCCCCCCCAAGGGGATCGCGGATGGGGAGCGGAGAGACGGCTCAGAAAGCGCAGTTTTCCCGAAGCTCTGCGGGTTCCCGGGTAGAAGACCCCAGCTCTGGGGCCTCCGTGATCGCAGCGCCGGACTCTGGCACCACAGCGTGGGGGTCCTGCGCGGGCGCGGGACGGTGTCCGGGTGAGGGCACAGCTGCAGGGGGTGGGGGGCTCGAAAACCCCTTAAGTTTGCAGCCGCCACCGCGCCCCCAGGCTGGAGGAGCCACTTGTGGAAAGCCTTGGCGCTCGGGTTGTGGGCGCGGAGCCCTGGCCTTCAGCCCCACCGCTGGGGTCGCCCTCCCTCGCTCGGGAGCTGAGGAGGCGCGGAGCCTCAGCCAGAGGGCACCTCCCGCCCCCCGCCTCCCTGCTCGCCGCGGGCTCGCGCCTCCTCCCGCCAGGCGGCGGGCGCTTCCTATCCCCGCACTGACCCCGCAGTGGAGACTCGCGGCTGCGGAGGCGCCAACCGGGATCCGCAGGCGGCGAAATCGCCCGCTACTGCACGGATGGACAAGAACCCTGGACCTGGAGAAGCGCAGCCGGGAACCTCGGACTCTTCAGGATGTATTACCAGAGCAGTTTGCCGGAACCGTCAGGCAAAAGCCTTGAGGCGTCCCCACCCGCCGCGGTTACTGCCAAAGGAGACGCAGCCTTCAGTGCCAAGTCCGCCGAGGCACATCCACCATCTGGGGGGAAGGAGGTGCGCAAGCTGTCCGAAAGGGCCTGGGAATTTCTAAAAGAAACATTCTCTGCTGGGTCTTAGTGCACGAAAGAATTTTGGGTGTGGGGGAGTACTTACTCTCGTGGGGGTCCGCGGTGGCGAATTTCAAGCCTCCTGGTTCACCAACTGCTGGAGGGGCTCGGGGTTGGCTCCTGCGGGCGCCTGGTGCTGAGCGGTCCCTGAGCTCTGGGCAGGCGCCTCCGGATTCCGTTCATGCCTCTCGGAGCTGCGGATCTCAGAGCGGAGACGTGCGGCGGGCGCGCCGGGCTCTGGCGTCCGCAGCCCAAAGTGCAGCTGGAGAGTCGACGCTACCGTCTATGCACAATCCCGCGGCGACGGTGGCGGAGCTTGGAGGAGCAAGGGAGATTCCAAATAAATCCTCTAATTCTGGGCTGAGCGCTCCGGCGTGCGAGCCCTCCTGCCTGCCAAATGTAACTGTGAAGTGATGTGGAAAAGTGAGCCGGGTGCCTCCCCTGACGGATCTCATTGGGCAGAGCGCAGAGGCAGGTCTACCACTTGGAAATTCATGTAAGCAGCCCCCCTCCCGCCCCCGCCCCTGCTCCCGCGCGCCCGCTCTGCGCTCCCTTTCCTCCCTCCAAGTGGGCGCACAACTTTTCGCTGCTCGCTCGCGAGCACGCCCCGCGCGCCTCCGCCGCCGGAGCCACGGCTGAAAGCTGCGCCCTTGCGGGCTGAGAGCGCGTCTCGCGGAGGGCCCAGCTGTCCGCCAAGGGGGCGGTCATCCTGGACCGGACGGCGAGGAGGCTTTCCCTGGGTCTCACCTGAGCACTGGGGCCCGCGGTACCTTGAAGGGCATCTTTGTGAGCTTCAGCTGTTTACTGTGAGAGGAAGAGGAAAGGACAGGGCAAGGGGAGGCGTGTTCGCAGTTCGCCTACTGTTTTCCGTGGGCCTCTGGAGTGTAGCGTAGGGTGTTTGTCAGGATGCGCCCTGCTCCACAGACCTTCCTGGTTTAGAGGTTGCGTTTTTCTGGTCACGGAGCTTAGTGCACGCCTGAGGCTCGGGGCTTGTAACTCATTCGGGAAGGCGGCATGAGGGACTTTCAGGGCAGGCGTGCCAAGAGTGCATGTAAAATACAGCAGAACTTGCAGGGCGATGGGAGGAGGATGCCAGGTCTGCCCGTGCGCGCCGGCTTGATCTCTGGAGCACCATCCTGGACTGGTCCACCGCCTTCTGCAGCCCTTTCTGGCGGGCTGCGCTCAGATCCTGAGAAACGGTCTCGCAATGTGCAGCTCCTGCAGGAAGGAGCACGAATCAGGAGGGCCAGCTGCCTTTCTTTCCTCTACATTTTAGGCTATTGAGCCTGAAACGTAGAAATGTTCTGCAGCTTTGATCCCACTTTCACAAAATTAGTGAAATAGAAGACGATACCCCTTAGAAAAGAAACTCTCCTTCTCTGGAGAGCCTGATTTAGTTCATCCCCTGCACACTTGATGTGAGTTCTGAGAATGAATTTTTACCATCTGGGGACAGAACTGAAGCAGAAGGAGAGAGGGTGCAGGGGACCCGACACATGGTCTGTAGAGCTTGCTCTGTCTGACTCGAATTAATGAGACACAGCGAACAGAATGGGAAAACAGGCACAATATGCTTATAATATTTATGCAAATTTGACTCTTTTGTACTGCATGTAACATCCCTCTGCAAAATATTGAAAAGAATATTGACTACAAGTCTGATATCTGTTTCATATTCTAGCCATACTGGGCAATGGATTTAGTGAATTAATTCAGAGATGGAGAAATTAAGAGAACCAGGAGGAATTTTTTCCCCCAGAGGAAGTCACTATGTAATGGACTGTTTCTCTCTCTCTCTCTCTCTCTCTCTCTCTCTCTCTCTCTCTCTCTCTCTCTCTCTCTGTCTCTCTCTCTCCTCAGATTGTATGTGTTTGCAGGATATTTTGGACTTGGCTAATTCTGTCTTGGAATAAAAAGAACAGCAGTCAAATTTCCATCAAATTATAACTGCTGTTAGACCAGACAGTCCCAAGTGGACAAAGAAATAGATTACTTCTTAGGTTGTGCTTAATTTTCAGACATTTATTTTCACTTTGAACAAGTGGCCTGAACCTTTCCTTGAAGTACTTTCTAATATCTATTAGAGCTAAAGGAAAGGTCATATGGTACAAAAGACTGGAGACAGTCACAAGTAAACTCATCTCCAAAGAAACTGAAAGTGTTAAACAATATCCTTGAATTTCAATCTCTTTAGACAAATGAAAAGAAAGACATGTATACTGACAAACTGAAGAGACAGAATCTCCTCTCTTGGGTACCTTAGGTTAGGGTATTTGTTTTGTCTTGCTCTGTCCACATTCATTTTTCTCAAAGACATCATCTTCATTTCTTTTTGGGTTGTCCAGAACTTACAGTAACCTGTCTGCCTACATCTGCTGATCTGCTTGAAGTATTACAGAAGGAATTTCCTGGAAAATTCTTGAAAGAGGTCTAAGTGTTTAAGAAATGTAAAAGAGGATTGGGATAATGTTAAAAGTCCTATAAGGATATTTATAAAATAATCAGGGATGCTACAAGACAGGCACTTACCTCTTAACACTTCCACCCACTCGTGATAGGATGCAGGGTATGCCACAACCGTGAGAGCTTATAGCATCTTCGCCTTTCTAAAGGAACAAGGTGATGCTACACGGGCTTTAGGGCATGACTATCAGAATTACAAGTGTTTTGGAGAACTGCAGAGGAGGATGGTTGAGGGATTACTCAATAGGGCATGAGTATAGTCAGGAGGAGTTCAGAGGAGATGGGGAATTGTGTTCAGAATTACCTTGGCATTAATGCTAAAGTGGGCTGAGGCAGGATATCTCTAGCCTGGAATTCAATGACAGATAGCCCGTTTTGCAGGTGTGTCTATGATACCTGACCGTGAATGAGAGCCAGGGACTTCATGTACTAAAAGACAGTTTCTTGTCTTCACTTTATCTAGAACTGTTGTTATAATAGTGACTAAGAGAAACAGCAAGCCAATTGGTCAGATAGTTGGAGGTTAGTTGGAGCCTGATGAGCCAGCTGGCTTGTAGGAAATGGAGAACCTTTAGAGAAAAAGAGCTCGGGAATTCTCTAGATGAAGCAGGGAATGGCAAAATTGGGATACGTCAGTAATGTTTGTTACCTTATAAGCAAGCATTTTTAGTTCTAATTCTGTAGTTTTCTCTCATGTAAGAAGTGAAACTAATACAAATAAAACATTTTTGCTATGTTGTGTTTGCTGAAAATTTTTAGCCTGGGTGGACTGCTTTTAAATTAAGGAAACTAATGAATTTGGGAGATATCTTTCTAAATATACTGGGTGGGGTCCAGGAGTGTGAATTCCATGACATAAGGGTTTGCATAATGTGATACCTGGCAAGCACACTATGATTTTAAATGAAAACTTTAAGAATTTGAACCATGTGGAAAACCAAAGCATAAATACAGTGGTTATGATTATTTAATATTGTTCTACTAGTACAGTCCTTTATAACACATTTCATTAGGCTGAAGAAGTCTGAAACTATGTCCTTTATTGGGAATTGGAGGTGAAGCAATGTGTAACAACTTATATTATGCATAAAACATTTCAAATTTTATTTTGAATTCCAATATTGGAGCGTAAGTCATAACAATTATAAAATTACAGAAGGATTTTGAGCAATATGAAAATATTTGTACAAATTTAGGATAATTTTTTTTCTTAAAGTTTGAGAGTTTGTTCTAAGCCAAGTTCTTACTAAAATCACTGAAAGAGGGGATGGTACTCAAATAAAGTGAAAGTGAATAATTATAAGGGATTGCTTTAATAAGTCAGTGGTTTTCAACCAGTGATCCCTGGACCAGTTTTTGCTTGAGCCTCTTCAGAAGATTTGTTAGAAATGCAAATTTTGGATCCTGAATCTCCTGGAGTTCAGAAACCTGGGTTTTAACAAATACTCTGGGGAATTCTGCTGCTTGGTAAACTTTGAGAACCTTTGCAATAAGCAATTTCCCTCTTCAGTGATACATGTAGAAATGAGAAAGAACAAAGTGTTGCATTATATTCATTCTTTATTGAATCTGGAATATTTTAAAGACAGAATGTTGTCTCAAGTAATAAAGGAAACTGTGATTATTGCACTATCATTTGCTATGGCTAAAAATAACTATCCTTTAGGAGGTTAGGATTTTTTATTTTTATTTTTTGCAGTACCGGGGATTGAACTCAGGACCCCATGTTTGCCAGACAAGCACTTATTCTACTGAGCTATCTCTCCGAGCCCTATGGTTAGAAATTCTTGTAGCAAAATCATCTTTGAGCTTGTTGCGCAGGGCTGTGATACTCTCCCATTCATGGATGCTGGCTTTCGCTATTCCTGAAATGAGCCTCATATTTCTGAATATTACTGTAATTACTAATCTTCAGCTTGCCATTATATTTTCTATAAATGGACATGGAAACACTTTCTGAAAACCACATCTGTGCCGTGAACATTTGGGAGTAGGTCTTCAAAATGGCTTTATCTCCCATCTTCCCAGGTGCCAGGGAAGAGATAAGCCCCAATTCAGCTTCTAACAGAAAATGGGGGTGGGAGGGGAACATGGATAGCTTTAAAGGGACTGGCACAAAGCTATCAAGTGAGCCAGCCCAGGCTCCGTGGAGTGCATATGGAGGGGTTTAGTTTTGTGTTTTGTTTTGTTTATCCTGAAAGAGAATTGTAATTGGATCGAGATTCTAGACACTTCTTGTTTAACTTTGTAGGTAAGAGGAGGAATATTTCTTAAAAATTTCAGATCGTGTTCTGAAAGAGAGTGAAAGAAGGAAATATAAAAAGAGGCAGAGGACTCACATGATTACTGGTTGATAACATTGTATATAATATTCCCATATAATTAAATTTAATTTTAGTTCTTGTTTAGAAAGTTACCATTACTTAAAACTCACATACTTACACTCAGATATCATTACAGATCCATAGGTGAATAAAGATGTACAGAGGGAAGAACACTCCTCTAATTATGTATAGGGTGGAGTTTATAGTTTGGATTGTTTTCAAGTTGCTTATTACAGAGAAAACTACATCTATATGCATTCAACAAATGCACGCAGAAAATGGAAAGGAAATTACATTATCGTGACTGTGAGCTTGGTTTCGTCATCATTCAAAATTGCATAATG